TGTTGAAGGGCTTTTTCTTAAGCAGGTGCTACGCATGATTTCTATGCCTACAGTAGGAGATACGAAGATAAAAACACGAACAAAGCAACTGTATTTTCTTTCAATAGAGCTTTTACATATACTGTAATAAAATAATCTTTAAAGGAAATACTTTTATTCTTCCGGAACGAAATTTCCCAAGATCAGGATCATTTATATTTCTCCGTAGCTTTTCTTGGAGAGTATCATGATTTGATAATTGAATTGAGGCAGAATGAGGGATTTTGCCGCACCGCACGAGGCAGACACCGGCTGGTTGGCCGGACCTCGTTTTTCTGCTTTTCAAGTTTCCTGCGCTCAACGCATTTACGAATTTAGCATGTTTGGAGAGGCTGCAGGTCGCTACGCCTTAATTTTAGTTTCAGGAAGCTCTAAGTCCACGGAAGTAGCGTGTGAAAGACGAATATATGCAGGTATTGAATAGGGGGGGGGGGGGGGGGGGGGGGGGGGGGGGGGGATCAGGCAAGATCCATCGTAGGAAAGAGCTAAAAATCTGTGGTGATGTGACGTATGGTGCGTTCTGTTGAAGGAGGGAAGGAGGGAAGGTGGGAAGGTGAAGCCGACGGATCCAGTTCTCTTTCAGCGTCCAATCACTGCTTCAGCCCCTGTCTTCTCCCTTTGGAACTTGTGCGTTTGGAAGGCTCATCGCTTATGGGTTTGGATGATTTTGGTATTAATTAAAGATCTCCATCTGCACCTTTATGGTGCAGATCTGAAATAATGAGTTGGTGTTCATATTTTGGTCGTTAAAAGGTTCGCGTGATCCGACTGCTCTGCCCCCACTCGAGTAATGTCGTCGGTGTCAGTTCATCATCCTCTCCAGAGGTGGCGCCGAGGATGGAGCCTTGTTCCACTCGATGTCTGAAGTGATCTGAAACGAGAGTACAAAAGGCCAGGGAGTGGTGACCGAATCGAAAAATGCGCCAATCCCCGGCCATAAAAAGGGATCCGATACCGAATTTTGTTTTTGTTCAGTGACCTTTATTTACCAGACGTGCCCCTCACGGATGAAGGGTATGAGGAAAGAATAGTTATACCAATGGGTGATTAAAAAGAATGGTCGGTCGCAGAGATAGTTCAATCTTGCTGTTAAGGAGTTGAGCCGAGCCGCGGCCAGCAACCAGGTGATGCATGTACGTGCATTTTTGGATATACAGTAAAGTGGTGAAGGAGTCGGAAAGCAAATTAGCCTGGGGTGTGGGCCAAGAGGTTAGTTGTTGGTCAGGTGGTGCGAGGGTAAGCTCAGTGAACGCAGCGGATAGAAGTCACTAAGATGGAAAATTCCTTGAAGTATGCCTTTCGGCAGCGCTCGAATCTGCGCGGCCCAGTGCATTATCAGAGAGCAGTCGGGCGGCATGAGGGGATTTCTGTCGCATCGCCTGAGCCTAGGGACGAAATCGATTCCAGCTATTTGTGAAGCCGTGCAACCTTCTGGGTAACTAATACTCATACTCGATCCTCATAAAAAAAGAATTACATCAGCCCAATAAAGGAATTCCATCGAAAGACAAGTAGACAAGGAAGACAAGATCACCGGTAGAAGCGTTAACTGGAATCTCATTTTCTATCCTTCATTCCCCCTGGAGCTGAACCGTTCCCCTCCCCCTCCCCCT